TGTGGTTCAAGCTCTCTTTGGAAAAGTAAGTCTCAAAACCAACATGTCAGAGGGTCTATTGCAGGCTGCGAGAAATCGGCACTACGGAACCGGGAACCACTTGCAACTTGTTCAGTCTCACTACCGAACGGTTTGCTGAAGTGCCTCTGAGTGTCCCTAGAGTTAAGGTTGATTTTCTGGGGTTCTGCCCATGTAAATGCATTGATCGGGGCTTTCGATGCTAAGTGGTATTAGAAGGCAGGGTTGCAATGAAATCTAGCCACCGGCCTCCAGTTTCATAGGCTTCTGTCTGCTTGCAACTTTATAAACAGAAGTAGAAAAAACCAAGTCCCGCGTCACAACCTTGGGATGCAAACCTCCCACCCCGACCTCTTCCAACCTGGAGGACGACATCACCCCAGCTGGCCCCTCCAGCTGGCCCTGGCTGATTTCTTATGGGCTTCATGTCCGCGGTTAGGGGTTTGAAATAGGAGAAGGGGAGTAGTCTGATGGATTCGCCCAAGCAGGACATCCCACACAAAGGGCAGGCTGGGAGGAGGTGCAGGGAGGTTGAGGTTAGAAACTGATGAATGAGCGGCTGAGAGCAAATGTGCAACCGATGACAGGGGACAAGCCGGAAGGGGGGTGAGCTGTGACCGGCCGGGAAGGGGACAATGAGGACTTTGCACATGACCCCTCGGAGGGAGGCGGTGATGTGGTCGCTGATGGGGAGGAGGCTGATCTTCGCAGCTGGGTTTTGTGAAGACCCGGCATTGTTCCGGGGGCCCAGAGAGAAGGAAGCTATGGTTGCCAAGGCAGAAGCAGAAGGCCTAGTGGTGAGCTGTGGACAGAAACAAGAGGACGGATCCTTGGAATCGTATAGAGTAAGTGGCGGCAAGATGCAATTTTCCGCCACCATGATGAGGGAGCTTTGCGCCGTTCTGCTGTTGGCCTCCAGTCAAAAGGCATCAACAACTTTTGGAAGGGTTGCCCTTTCCATGGAAGGACGTGACATAACAGCAGAGCCAACCAAACATTTGCTACAGACTTTGGCCTGCTGAGAAGTGATACCAGGCAAAGTTACTAATTACAGGAAATTAGCCCAGCGCTCCTGCTACCGTTACTAACCGGCCTGTCATTGATTTACCTTCACGGCGTCGTGCAATTCCTTGGCGTCGTATTTGGAAGGCGGGTACAGAAGAGCTATGATGAGCCTCTCAAACTTGCCACTCACTTCAGACTTCAAGCTTTCAATAAGGTCCTGGTAAACATGAAGGATACGTGTAAGGAAAGAGCACACCCAAAGCTGCACAACCCTTTCCCCGTGTCAACTTCAGTCACCGTCGTGACCCACAGCGTTGTAGGAATTGGGTTATTACAAAAGCCCCTACGGGCTGATGAGCAGGCAGATCTTCTGAGTGGAAGCATTTCTGTAGGGCTTCCCTCAATACCTGCAATATCTGGGCCCTTCACAAACCCAAACGCTTGAAATTGACCAAGGTAGGGTTCAAGCAAATTCAGGATCCCTTTTGGTCAATTTCACGGTCATAGGATTTCATGCTTCCAACTCTTTCAATCTGAAATTCACGGCATTGTCATTGCTGGGGGGTTGATCCAAAAAGGAGTTGGGGGATTACAAGGTTCTCGCATGTGGTGTGGTATGGCTACCCTTATTTCCACACAGCTGCTGGCCAGGAATCCTGCTCTGACGGCGGAGATGCCACTATAGCAGCGCAGAAGGAAGGTTAACCTGGTACATTATTGCCACCTTTAATTCTACTCTGCTGCCTGCAGAGCTCGGCTCTCAGACCCAGCTCTGTGACAAAATACAGGACTATGTAGCACTTTAAAGACTAACAAGATGGTTTATTAGATGATGAGCTTTCATGTGCCAGACCCGCGGCAACACCATGACCCTTTTAAAATAATCATGTGACCCCCTCCCCCCGCCACTCCCTTTTGGGTCAGAACCCCCAATTTGAGAACACTGGTATATTAAACCGATTTCAAGGGGGAAGACGCTAAAAGCCCACAAAAGGCCTGATTTCACAGGAGGGCACCAGATTTCATGGTCCGAGATGCATCTTGCACAGCTGTGAATTGGGTAGAGCAGATGGGTGAGGGAATGTCTTTTATTGGACCAGCTTTGTCTGTGTAAGCTTGGAAACTTATTCCAGTAGCCAACCGAAGTTGGTCCGACAGAAGATATTCCCCGACCTCCTTTCTCCAACACCGGCCCAGCCAATAGGCGATACTAATACACAGCCTCTGACATTCCATCTAGTCTGACACCTCTCTTCTCCAGCAAAGCTCCATGCAGCGCAAAGAGAAAACGGATCAGCCAGATCCTCTCTCTGCATTACCTTTCCAAACTGTTCCTTGAAGGATCTGGCGATCTGCTGACGCTGGGCATTGCTCCGTTTGGTGAGGATGTCGATGATAGCTTGTTCGTCTGTCCCTGGAACCAAATGCCGGAAGGGTATAAACACACGGGGCGGGAGAATAAAATGAGATGGGTCTAAAAATCCCTCAGCTGTGACTTCTCCCTCCCTCCCAAACCCATTGCCCTGGACAAGGGGTTTAGGCACGTTGTGGAGCAGCTTGGAGCCTGAATCCCATGTAATGCCACAAATGACTCTCGTATTCGATCAGGAATTGCGCTAATGCTCTAATCGACGCATAGAATGTTTGAAATACATGGCCGGGAACACAGTCAACTCACCAAGTCCTTTCATGGCTTTATACAGAACTTGGGCATCGGGCGCGGGGTCAAAGTGCAGGATGCCTTTCAGTGAGCTGCCATCTTCCTCACTCTGAAAGAAAAAACAACTCTGTCTCCCGTGTGCAATGAGTTTGATGGGGCTCAACGCAGGTCCCAGTGGACCTAGAGCACAAAAGAGTTCCCTATAATAAGCGTTCATGAGTGCCAGTTCCAGTGGACATACACAGAGTGTGGTCTAGACCAGCGTTTCTTAAACTTTTTAGGACGGAGGAACACCAAGGATTTTTTGTTGAGGGGGGAAAAAAAAAGAGGCGGGGGAAAAGTTTGTTGAAAAAAAAAAAGTCACCTTGCCCCTTTAAGGGCGGCCATTTTGAACTCTGTTCTCCGCAGCACCCCGGTGTGTAGCGGAACACAGTTTAAGAAACACTGGTCTAGACGTTTGAAACTCGACTTTCCTCTTGCCCTGAAGGAACAAGCGGGAGGAAGAGATTTAGCAGCCCCCCACTACAGAAAGGATGTGGACGCATTGGAGAGGGTCCAGCAGAGGGCGATCAAAATGATGCGGGGGCTGGAGCGCGTGACCTACGAGGAGAGGCTGAGGGATTTGGGTTTGTTGAGTCTGCAGAAGAGAAGGGTGAGGGGGGATTTGAGAGCAGCCTGCAACTCCCTGAAGGGAGGTTCCCAAGAGGATGGAGAGAGGCTGTTCCCTGTGGTGACGGATGCAGAACGAGGAGCAATGGGCTCAAATTACAGCGGGGAAGGTCTAGCTTGGATATTAGGAAAAACTATTTCACTAGGAAGGTGGTGAAGCACTGGGATGGATTCCCTAGGGAGGTGCTGGAATCTCCATCCCTAGAGGTGTTTAAGTCTCGGCTTGACAAAGCCCTGGCTGGGTTGATCTAGTTGGGATTGGTCCTGCCTTGGGCAGGGGGCTGGAGTTGATGACTCCTGAGGTCTCTTCCAGCTCTAGGGTTCTATAATCCCTGCGCTCTGCTTATAATCCACCTCCAGACTCCCATGCCCTTAGCTCCTTGCTACCAGCCTACGGGACATGGATGAAGGAAGGAGGGAAGGTTGGGATACCCCACGGGTGGCTGGGGTTTCGGTCCCTATAGGCTGTTAGCCACCTGGGGGTGAGTTGGAGCAGGCCAGATTACATAGGTCATGACTCAGACTGGGAGAGTGCAAAGGGGAGTTTTAAATGTAGAGAGGTTTAGGAGCAAGGCAAATACATTTAAACGAGCCTTTTTGAGAAAAATCCCCACCAGGGAGTTGAGTCAGTTCTGGAGGGAAGGGATCAGCCATGACTCATAACCCTCCCGCTCCCCTAGTTGTATCCTCTGGCTGGCGTAGCAGAGGGAACGAGAAAGGTGTGGCCACACCAAGTTAGGACAGGAATCCAGCGGGGACTCATCCGGCTTTCTGGTTCCAGGTGATCCCCGCAGCTAACGGGCCAAAATGAGTCAGGGTATGTGTCACTTCCAAGACCCCTAGACAGGCGCCTGGAGAAATCTATTCCACCTGACAAGTTCCTGATTTAGACTATTTACTGGTGACTATTGCGAGTTCCAATTTTCCAAACAGTTTTGTCTCATTGCAAAGAGGGGTTTTGTCCAAAATCTTATGTTTTCCATGGAAAACGTGAGGTTCCCTTGGATTTTTTTAAAATGGAAGGCGTTTAAACACAACGAACATTTTGCATTTTGAATTGAACATTTTTCACTGTGTTTTTCAAACAGTAACAGAAAATTCTAACTTTGGTCCACTCCCCGGCTTCTGTTTTGTTGAACAGAAAGTGTCTCTAGGGCTTTGGAGTGGTTTTTGGAGCGGTTGTGGTTCTGTGTTTTGCGCCTCTTTCCATTCTCATGTTCCAAAGCACCTTCAACTTTGGAAGAGGGCGAGAGCAGCAGAAAAGCAAAGAACAAAAAAAATCCAAACAACACACACACCACAAACCAAACCCGCTCCCCTGAAAACACAAGCCACAAAACAAACAAACCCGCCCAAAATGCAAACATCTTCTTAGTCCCAGTGACAACGGAGGGGAGGAAAATGCTGACATTTCAAAAGTTTCATGGAGAAATGCGAGGAACAACAGGGGCAGGAGGAAATCACAAACCTCACAGAAAACTCACTTTGAGTCCTGCACAATGGAAACAAATCTGAAATTTTTCATGAGATGGTTTGTTCCTTTTCTCACTGCCTAACAGTAGCACTCAGAGTCAAAAACCAGAGCACACGCTTTGCTCACTCAAGATGGAAACCCGCTCTGTCCCACCCTCTCTGTTCTCTGTGTTTTATGCTGGGGACAGCAAAAGCACCATGAGAAACATGATCTGGGGCGTACGTGGATCTATGCCGCATGAGAACCATTGGACTCCAATTCTGGGCCATATAGAAAGGTGGCACCGGGATGGAAGAGTTAACAGAAAACAGCCCTAACCCGTAAGGATGTGACTGTTTGCCACGGGGGTCTGGAATGCTGCCAACAGCGGCTGGGCGGAAAACTGGGATGCCATTCTGTGCAGGGTTCGGAGAATTCCCAATCTGGTTTCATTCCGGTTTGGACCAAGAGCCAAAAACGTTCAAGTTCTCTGCAAAAAGCGAATTATCCTCTGCTGGGCGCGCTGGTTAGGAGGCAGTTTGCCTGCCCTCGATCCAGAGACCGTGGAAACGACAGAATCCAGGCTACCAAAGAGCTGGAAGCAAACGTTTCATCAGAAGGTTTCGGACCTACTCGGACAAAGCCCCGATAGCTCTGCTGGCTGGCAGGTGACTGGCAGTCAAACCCGTTCCCAGTTACCAGCATGTCGTCACCTAGAAAGTCTCCTCTTTATCTCCAGCTCTTGGTAAATCAGTACAAAGTCACAGGGTAGAATCCTGGCCCCGTGGAAAGTAACCGGAATTTGGCCACTGATTTCAGTGGGGTCTAGATTACACCCATTTTCAAAGTAACGTGAACTTTAAAGGAACAGTGTAGTTTGGCTTCCCTCGTAGGCCAGCAACCAGTCCTGAAATTCAACCCCCCACATGGCTATCTGAGACCTCATCTCCTTCCTAGACCAGAAACTACCACCACAGCCGGAACAACCAGCCTGTTGGCCAATCGAGAGGCTTGTAACAACGAGGGATCGTATATTTGCAGGACCTGACCTGTGGAACTCACCCCCGCAAGAGAGAAGACAGACCAAAGAATTCATAGCTTTCCGATCTAAAGGCAGAGCAACTTTCCTCAGGGTAGCTGTCGGTCACGGACTTCTCCGCACGGCACACCCTCCTTACAACAAGCGGCAATAAAAGCGCCAATCTGTTTCTTAAAGCCAGTCAACATCATTAAGAAATTCCAATCTGTTTCTTAAAGCCAGTCAACATCGTTAAGAAATTCCACACCCACACACACACACACAACACACACACTCACACAGTGATCACGCAGTAGGTGCGCTCCTTTTGGAAGGGGAAGGATTTTACTCTGTCTCTACAAAATCTACCTTCTATGTGTATCAGGCGCGACATTCTGCCTCTAAAATCACATACAGAGAGTCAGACAACAGTGTTTCTCTACTCACCCAGCCCTTCCACCACGCCATGGTAGTGTTGGTAGCAATTCTTTTTCCTGCAAATAAAGCAAGATCCACATGAGGGCTTTGAAAGTTCGAGGGCTTGAGCCCATGTGAACAGAAAAGAAAAAGAACCCCTGTGCAAACTCACCGCTAGAAAACGAGAAAAAATAGTTCTGCTCTCAGAGGTCTATTCACACTGGCGGCTGCATGGTCTAACTGGAACCTCTGCCCCAAAAATGTACAAATACGTGCTTTCCTCTTCTATAATTCCCACAAGGCAACACCCTAGAGACATGGTTCGACCTGTTTTTGTACCTGGCAGAGAGGCGGTTTCTTAGTAACAGAACTTCCCTTGTTAGGAGGCTCGCATTCAAACTTGGCTGACTAAAGTTTGAGTTTCCCCTTCTGAGTTTTACAGTGTGCCTGCCTTCGCCCCAGAGGCCTGTGCAACATGGAAACGCCAGCCCGATAACGTCAAGAGACCAGCCAGGCCCAGCGCAGCCTATGCTGCTTGGATCAATTGCTCGCTAATTATTAAAGGACTCTCTCTACCTGGATCCTAACAAAACAAGACACGCAGCCGTGTGAGTCTGTAACTTTAAAAACAACGAGGAGTCCTCTGGCACCTTAGGGACTAACAAAAACATATAGATAGTGTCACGAGCTTTTGTGGGCAAAACCCACTTCCTCCGATGATGAGCTGGAGAGGAAAAACAGAAACCAAGTATTTTGTAACAGAAAAAAGGTCCCTGTCAATTGCAGGAACGGTGCTGATGAGGCTAATTGGGAATGTCCCGTTCTTAGCTCTTGATGTAAAACTGAGGTGTTAACGGAAAGGGAGACTGTTCCAAAAATACTTGGTTCCTGTTCTTCCTCTCCAGCACCATCATCCGAGGAAGTGGGTTTTGCCCACGAAAGCTCATGCCTCTATAGATTTATTTTGGTTAGGGTTGCTAAGTGTCCGCTTTTCACCCGGACTGTCTGTTATTTGGATCCCCCATCTGGTAAAAAAACAACGGAAAATACTGGACATGTGAAATGTCTGGTGTTTCCCTTGGACGGAAGCCCAGTGGGGACAATTTTCGGCAGGGGTGGGGGAGTGAGAAGGGGCCATTTAAAGGGGCCATTTTTTTTTCTCAACAGAATTTTTCCCCAACGTTTTTTTCTTTGGGGGGTGGGGGGGGGAGAAAGGGAGTTTGGTATTTTTTGTTAAACCATCTGGCAACCCTAAGTTTGGCAGGAGAAGGCAGGACTAAATAGAAACATGCCGCCGCTTGCCCCACTCCGAGGCTGAATCAGCAGCCCCCGCTCAGACTGGGCTGAGCTCTGTACCCGTTGGCTCTGCACAACTGTACTCCCCGACACGAGCAAAGCTTGGAGATGCGGGCCCAGTGACGCCAATGGCTCATTGGCTCCCTTGCAGCCCTAGTATAGCAGCACCGTGAATTCCGCCTGCAGTTCAAAGATACGGGGTCGTTCTTCGCAGGAGAGCTCATAGCAACATAGACGCTTACTTGTAGGACAAGCAAATCCAGACAGTCCTGGCTGAGGCAACTCCCGAGAACAGGTTGAACCTCTCTAATCCGGCAACCTCTGTAGTCCGGCATGATTTGAGTTAGCCGGATGTCCACTTACCATGGGGATGGCCAAATTTCCCACAGCCCCCAGTCCTGGCTCTCAGTGTTCTGTGCTGTGATTTAGCTCGAATTTACCCCTCCATGTCTTCCCAGAGCCCAGTAAGCAGTGGAAGTGTACGTCATACTGCTCACACTATTGACCTCCGGTGGTCTGGCACATACTCTGGCTCGGCACCGGTCAGCTCCTAAGGGTGCCAAACTAGAGAGGTTCAACCTGTACTGGTTTTCATCTGGGCAAATGCAAAACTACTTGAAATACAGGATTGTATTGTTAACTTGGAAAAAATAAGAGATGAGGGCTGGTTTGAGGGAGAAGCTACCATGGTGCAGAGATAGTTTGTGGCACCAGTGAGATGGGAAAACAGGCAAAAAATGCTGTTTAAAGAGATGAGGGCTGGTTTGAGGGAGAAGTTACCATGGTGCAGAGATAATTTGTGGCACCAGTGAGATGGGAAAATAGGCAAAAAATGCTGTTTGAAAAAAAAAACTTGTCCACAAAACATGTAAGTGGCTTTGCTACTAAAACAATAACTCCAGTTTCCCCACACACTGTGGCTACATCTACGCTGGCATGATTTTCCGGAAATGCTTTTAGGGGAAAAGTTTTCGGTTAAGAGCATTTTCGGAAAAGCACGTCTAGATTGGCAGGATGCTTTTCCGCAAAAGCCCTTTTTCCGGAAAAGCGTCCATGGCCAATCTAGATGCGCTTTTCCGCAAAAAAGCCCCAATCACCGTTTTCGCCATCGGGGCTTTTTTGCAGAAACCACCTCTCTGCTGTCTACACTGGCCCTTTTGCGCAAAAGTTTTTCGGAAAAAGACTTTTTCCCGAACGGGAGCAGCATAGTATTTCCGCAAAAACACTGACAATCTTACATGAGATCATCAGTGCTCTTGCGGAAATTCAAGCGGCCAGTGTAGACAGCTGGCCAGTTTTTCCGCAAAGGCAGATGATTTTGCAGAAAAACTGGCCAGTCTAGACACAGCCTGCGTGACCTTCTATGGCCCTATCGTCACAATATCCGAATGCCTGGCAAACAGGAATGAGTTGATTGTCACAACGGCAGGGGGCAAGCGACGAATCAGAGCCAGCTCTGTCGATCAAAAGCTGGAAGAGGGCAGGTCATTATCAGCGGTGTCTAGAAACTTGCCAGTCTAGACACAGCCTGCGTGACCTTCTATGGCCCTATCGTCACAATATCCGAATGCCTGGCAAACAGGAATGAGTTGATTGTCACAACGGCAGGGGGCAAGCCACGAATCAGAGCCAGCTCTGTTGATCAAAAGCTGGAAGAGGGCAGATCATTATCAGCGGTGTCTAGAAATTCCCTCCAGTGGGCAAGTCCAAAGTTAAACACACCACTTTGTCCTGAAATGGAACAAACCCAATGAAACAGTCAGTGAGATTCCCAAAGTTTTGTTCAACCCCCCAACATTTCATTTTCTCCCTGGTGAACGCCGAGAACTGCCTCGTACCCTGGCAGCTCACTAGAAGAACAGCTGGACAGCTCGGGGAGTCTGGGAACAGGTGTTTTGGGGGTGAACTGCTCAGGAGCTAGGAAGCCCTGGAAGAACAAGGCTGCTAGAGATCTAGCAGCATAGGGCCAGCAGGCCTGGGTTCTGGCTCTCTGGGAGCCTGCTTATCTGGAGTCTGCCAAAAATCTGCCTGGTTTCCAGAGGAACGTCCCTGAAATTGACACACGGCTGCAGGGTGTGTCAATTTCATCAGCTTCACATTTTCCAACAGAAATAAGTTGTTGGAAGCTTTCCACCCAGCTGGACTCCTCGCAAGGCACAACACGCCTGCTAGCCTAGGAGAGGATGGGTGTTTCCGAACACCGTAGGTGGCCTGCGACACATGTTACTAAATGGGCATGTTCCCTTTCTCGCTGGACTATTATAGCACATCAGCCCCCTAGCTCTAGATGGGGTTGCATTGGCCAAGCTGACAGCAACATGGATTCTGCATAGATTGCAAGCTACTTGGGGCAGGGACTGTATTTTGTACTTATCCCGCATCTCGTTCGGTGACCCTGGTCCATGACCGGCACTCCTGTTGGCCGCTGTAATTCCAATACGTTGTTCTTAATCATCAGCGGAAAGACTTTGGACGGCAGACTGTTCTCCTAGACACAAGCTGCAGGGAGGGGCGTGGACACCCCCACCCACACCCTCTTTTAGAAGGTGCTGTGGCTTAGCTGGATAAGGTGCCTGCGTAAGAAATAGAAGATCCAGGTGCCGCTGGCAGGTGTTTTTCCGGTCAGGCTTGACAATCACAAGGGTGGCTTCTGGCCTTGAAATCTTTGCAGCAGGATGTCTGCTGGAAATACATTGCCATGCACTGACCTCCAGTGGTTCATCTAAAGCTAGCAAGGTTTCAGCTGCCAGGGTCCTAGGTGCAAGAGGCCTGTTGCTGATCTAAAGGCCAAAGGCATTGCCTCCCTGTGAATTTATTAGCGGAGGGTGAGAATTCACCGTGGAGCTGGGGCTGTTTAAGGCTGGAAAGCATTTCTGCTCCCCCGGCCGACGTCTGGTGAAATGCAGGGAAAGGAACGGAGCTGGGAAGCGGGGACGTCTCCCCAGCCCATTCCACATGGGAGAGACTCACCGTTCAGCCGGTCCCCACACTGAGACCTGCCCTCCTCCTTCGACAGACCTCCCACCGCTGGGACTCTGGGTTCCTAGGAACAGCGGGGCCTTGAGAACACTACTTGAGTGACCGAAGGCAGAACAAGGAGCAATGGGCTCAAGTTGCAGTGGGGGAGGTCTAGGTTGGAGATCAGGAAAAGCTATTTCATTAGGAGGGTGGGGAAGCGCTGGGCTGGGTTACCTAGGGAAGTAGTGGAGTCTCCTCCCTCGAGGTGTTTAAGTCTCAGCTTGACAAAGCCCTGGCCAGGTTGATTTAGTTGGGATTGGTCCTGCCTAGAGCAGGGGGCTGGACTTGATGGCCTCCTAAGGTCTCTTCCAGCTCTATGGTTCTACGATTCTAAGAGTGGCCGTGCCAGAGCCCGGATATGCCAGCTGCCAGGGTGGCGGCCACGTCTGGAGTTCTCACAACCCTGTGGGTGGGAGCTGAAGGCAGGGACTGCCAGAGCATTGCATGGAGTGAGTTGTCCAGTTCTCAGTGAACAGAACTGAGTCGCCACCTCTGCTTGGGGCTGTACAGCTCAGCTGCAGAAAACTGGCTAAGCCACAGTGCTCCTTCAAGATCACTTCCTGTCCCAAATGCTGCAGCCCCTCGGCTCCTGCCATTGATTCGGGGCAGTGGGAAGGGGAAGTTTGTGGCTATCACAGAGGGCATGTCGACACTAGGAAATTATTTCCAACTAATAACACCCATAATAACGATTTCAAAGTAAGCGTGATTCCCCCAGGAAAGCAGGAGCGCAGATTTCAGACTAACCAGCCTGTTCTTTGGATAAAACCGGCTTGGCAGTGTGGACGCTCCGCTTGTGACTTCAGAATAACTCCCTAGTGCCGATCAGGGCGTAGGCTGTTCTCCTGAACCAGCATGTCGGGCTGCGTTGCGGAACGGGACTCACCGCTGCGGCGCCTCCTGCTGGGAGCGCCAGGGAACGAGGTTGGTCGTCAACAGGGCACCTCCTCCTGGCTGGGGTCTTTCCCCGTCTGTGATCGGCGCTCGTGTTCCGGGCCCGTGTCGTTCCCGGACCGTGACGTCCTCAGGATACTGCCCTCCGGCATGCCCGCTCCAGCGGTCTCTCCTCCCCCTTCCAGGGGGTATCAGCCGTCCTCTGTCTAGCACCATGGTCAACGGCAGCTTCAATGTAGCCCCTCACTTCAGGGGCTGCCACAGACCTTCCCGGCCACATGTGAATGGTGGCCGGACACGGCGCAAGGAGGGACCCAGGCTCGCCCACTGCTCTGGGTCCTGACCTAGTGACCATCTGACAGCAGCCTCATCCTGCCCCCCACCCTTCACTCTTGTTCCCTGGGCCATATCCTCTGCAACTCTTTGCACCCGCCTGGTCCTTGTAGCAAGGCCTGGCAGGGATCAGGACAGAGCCTCCCTCTCTCACCTCCTCTGCCCTGAGCCTGCTCTCCCAAAGGTGCTTCTCTGAGCCCCACACCCCCTCTGGTCAGGGCCGAACTGCCTGCTCTCGCCTGAGCAGCTCCTTTTATACAGGGCTGCCCCAGCAAGCTCCGCCCTGATTGGCTCCGCTAAGCCCTTTCCTGATTGGCCGGGGCTCTGCGCTCGTCCCCTCCAGCCTGCTTTAACGCCTCTGGGCCCGTGTGGGGCCCCACCTGGGCTGGGAGATGCTAACTCAGCAGGGCAGGCTGCTCCAAAGCTGGCTGGTGGTTAGAGGAGTTGGGGTCCGAGCGGAATTGGGCGTCTCGGGCCGGTAGCTGGGGTTCTGAGCATCGTTCCTCGGCGCACTTTGAGAAGCCGGAGCTGCCTTTCCCGTAACTCCCCAAGGGCAGAGCGTTAGTGGGGGCAGGGCCAAAGAGGGGAGGCCGCTCAGCCCAATGGGGTGAACTGCGCTCTGTGCCGATTTGGGGGGCAAGGAGAGATCAGAGAAGGGCCTGGCTTCGGCTGAGGGAGGGACGTGGCTCTCGGCTCGCGTTAAAGGGCTGATCAGTGTCATGGCCCTGACACTCGGCCACAGGTGCTCAGGATTTACCCAGCTGAGCCTGCCATGAGGCACATCCCTGAGCCTGACTGACCCCATAGGTCAGGTCCTGCCCTCCCCTGGCTCACAAAGCCCTGACAAATGTTCCCTCTCATTTTTCCATCCATGTGTGGAATACATTTTGTTGTGTGCACCGAGGCATGTGCACCACTCGTAGAAACACAAGCTGCCAGCTGCGGGAGGCTGCAGGCACTCTGCTAAACAGCTGGGCGGCATTTCAATTTCTCCTGGGCGGCTGCCCCCATGCTCATCTTCCAGGGAACCCTGGTCTCAACCCAGATTTTCTGCCAAAGCTGCAGGGATGCAGAGGGCCAGAGGAGTGGTGGGTGTGGCAGAGGCCGAGAGGGGTCGTGAACAACCCATTCCTCCCTGCCTATTTTGGGATTCTGTGTCCTGTTCGGACTGTGCAGCAACAGCCCCTGAACAGGGTATGTACGGCTGCCTCCCCGGCCAGCATAGGGAGGAGTCTGGCTCTCTGAATTCCCCGGCTTTCCCTCTCAGTGGCCTCTGCCTTCTCCAGCTGGCTCTGTGTTCACATCTGCCCACTCAGCTCTGCCCGGATCAGCTTCCTGGCGGCTTTCTCCTCCCTCTCATTCCACCCGGGCTGCGGCTGGCGTGCCGTGCCGACTCTGCACATTGCAACAGCTTTTATGAGCAGCTATTTCTGGCCTGGCCCCTGACCTCTCCGCTTCCGGTGCGGCTCTGCTCCAGCTTCTGCCCCTCGCCCCATCGGGTCGCAGAGTGATGCAGAGGAAATGCGGCCGGCGAGAAAATCAAGGCCTTGCTAAGCTAGCAAGGGGAGGGAAAGGGCCAATCCCTCCATCGTGGCACAGACACGCTGCCCCCAATCAAAGGGGTTTGCCTGAGCAAGGGATGCAAGTGCTCACCCCCAGGGAGGGCCGCCGGCGACTTGGGAGCTGCAGAATTGGACCCGAAATTGGCTCCGGGTGGCAGAAATAACCTTGGAATTGTGACCTGCGTGCGGCCGACGTGGCTGTAGACCCGACTGGGATCATGCTGCGTTTTCGGCCACACCCCTGAGATCAGACCTGAGGGATTAAGCCCTGGAAGATAGGCCAGGGATGGGATTCCTGATCAGCACGAGGGGAAGGTGAGGCCTGGAACAAGCAGCTGGCTTGCAGGGGCCCACTGAGTCAGTATGTAGAGGGTGTGCATCCCCTGCGGCACCCCCGCCGCCCCGGCCCGGGATCAGCTGTAGCACTGCAGATGAGCCGGCCTTTACATTCCATGGTTGGGGCATCAAATATTCCCTCTGGGGCAGAGCAGGATCAAGGGAAGCCAACACCAATCAAAAGAGGCCGTGTCTCATGGCGGGAGCAGGGCACTCACAACGTGGAGACCTCAGGTTCAAAGCTCCCTCCCCGAGTCCTCAGACAACGTCCCTGCTCTCTCTGGTTAGTCTCCTGTCCTGTGCGACGGGGAGAGGGCGACCCCCTCCCACCCCCAGAACCTGGACAGCTGCTAGCTCCTCGGTTTTCATAGAACTGGAAGGAACCTCGAGAGGTCAACAAGGCCAGTCCTCACGACGGGACCAAGCACCCTCTGGATCAGCGGTTCCCAAACTTTGTGGCATCACGCCCCCTTTTTGATTTTTGAGAAACCCCCGCTCCCCCCATAGCAGCAAAACTTGTTGAGCAAAAAAAAAAATTAACCGGGGCCAAAAAACAAAAATAGTAGTGAAAATAAGGGGGGGGAGATTAATGGGGGGGGGGGGGGGGCGGCGGCACTGAGCGCTCCCCCCCCCCCCCCCCGTTTGGGAACCCATGCTCTAGACCATCCCTGGCAGGTGTCTGTCCCACCTGCTCTTCAATATCTCCACGGATGGGGATTCCACACCCCCCCCCCAGGCAACTTATTCTAGGGCTTATGTAACCCACACGCCTTCTGGGGGTGGTGCACTGTTCCCCGGAGTGGCACTTAGCCCACTTACAAAGTGGTAGAACGAGTGTGCTCTAATCGCATTCGCTGGCTTTTTAGCTCCAGTGGTAGCTCATGCACTAAGCTCCAGAGGTCCCAGGTTTGATCCTGCCTGTTGGTGTTACAATTAACCACCCTGACAGTTAGGAGGGGTTTCCTAACGTCCAACCTAAACCTTTGTTGCTTGTCCTATCATCAGAGGTCAAGAATCATTTTTCTCCCTCCTCCTTGTAGCATCCTTTTGGGAATTTGAAGGCTGCTGTCATGTCCCCTCTCAGTCTGCTCTTTTCCATACTAAACAAATCCACTCTTTTCAGTCTTCCCTCCTGGGTCATTTTCTAGATCTTGCATCATTTTCGTTGCTCTTTTCTGGATCTTCTCCAATTAGTCCAGCTCTTTCCTGAAATGTTTTGTTTCAATAGGTCAGCCTTAGGGTAAGGCAGGAAATCTCCCGATGGGGCTGCGAGAACTTGGCTGTTCCATCAGAGACAGGACACTGCTTTGCAGAGTAGCAACGCTCTCGGAAACCCCGTCTCCCCGGTTCTGTGCTCTGCCCACAACATGACCCGACTAATGAGGCACAGCACGGCACAGGGTCAGATCATTTCCCCTGCTTCAAACCTCCCTTGGAGCGAAATCATTCGCGCTAATGAGTCACCATTAAGCACTTTTATTGCTGATTTTAAATCCATTAAGGCTACATTACGTTGGATTATGAGACTTTGGCTCCATTTCCCACATTTGCATGGCGCGGGAGTTTTCCGAGAAATGGAGCAGGCGCACAAAGGCATGAAGGTTATACAGGTATAACATGGAAGCAGCACGTCAGTTACAGAACATTGTACCGCATGTACCGGCCACAGCCCGCTTGGAGAGCCCCCTTAAATGTTAGAAATTAGAAATCCAACACATTCTGTCCACTTCCTCTGTCTCCACCCCAACATTTCACGACAGTTGCATCAGCCCACGTCCTTGCTATGTCTGAGAGCATACACCTTTCGAGAAAATATTGGTACAGTACATTGGTTTCCCTTATAACCAAGCAATTTCTCTCTTCCCCAAAACATGAATTGATTATCTACCTATCTGTTCAAGCACTGACAAACATTAGAAATCCCCTGGTTTTCCTAATTACACTACATTTTGCATTACTCAAAAGCAGCAGATCAATAACAATGTCTAAACATACGAGGCAGTACCCAATAATTCCCGGTTCCCAAACGACAGAGAACAATTTGAGAATACCATACCGTATTATCACACCGACCTGTAGAGCATCCAGGGCCACCTTAAGACCCCTTTTAATAAATTACTCTAACTGTCCAGCAGTAAAGTCCAGAAGTGTGCGGTCTCCTCTGCATGAAACTCTCGATATGTACAGAAGCAGGGCTTTCTCCTCCATGAAATGCTTTGTTTAAAGGGAAAAGTCAAAGGATAGTACTGATCGCATTGACAAAAACCGTGACATGACTATAAAGGCTTAGAAATGGTGCATGTGCATCGGAACTGGTGGAGTTCACAAATCAATCCATCACCGAGCTCACTCACTGATAAGAGGAACCGACCTTTGTACATTTAGGACTGTTTGACCCACTCGGATATTGATCTTGATGCATAAAGAGGGTGGTACACAGCTGTTAACAGGCTAACGCGCAGTGGTTTTAGATGAATCTTCATCGCTTGGGGCTTGATTCACCACTGCTTTGCACTAATGTTTACACCAGTGTTAGGTGTGTGCCAGATACTCCACTCAATCAGGGGAAGCATCAGACACACACAGGACACAGGCAATAATCAGAACCAAGGCTCCAAGGTCCTGACGAATCAGTCCTTTGAAACACTTCTTTACAGTGCTTGTAATCACAATCGGCCCAATGTACAGGCCAAACCAACAACAGCCTATTCAAATGGCAGGCCAGTGAAAGGAACCGTCCTGGGCCAGGTCCTCTGTGGAAGTCAGATGGAGCAACGCCAATTTTAATCAGCCAAGGATCTCACCCAAGAGACTTACAAAAGTGCTTCCCTCGCAGCATTGTAACCCCTGAAATAATTACAATGGAAAAGATCTGTACAAGCCTCAGATGACCTTTTTGCACCCACTTTACATTTAGTGTTGCCTGCCTTTGGAACAATGAAAATACCCTGGTCAGTTTCACGCTAGCTTCTTGTCAATTTCACTTTCCAGCTCCCGCTCAATGCTGTAGTCCAGTGGCTATTAAACGTCATTGTACCACAACCCCCTTCTGACAACAACAACAACAACCTGTGTGACCCCAGAAGGGATCAAAGCCTGAGCCTGACAGAGGCCCAACACCCCAGGCGGGGGACGGATTGTAACCAGGGCCAGCAAGTCGAACGCCAGACCTGGGGACCTCATTAAAATGGGAGTGTGATCCACTTTCCGTGTGGCAGCGACTGAAATGGAGAACAAGGCACATTCGCGTTGCCTTTCAGCTCAAAGCAGAGCAAGCGAACAGCGAGCGACTAATTGGATGCTACACTGGCTGCAGGCGAGCTGTCCATTGGTGGGCGTACCGCTCTCCCAGCAAACACTTCCTACAGAGGGGCAGCATTCCAGATAGAACAATGCAGGGTTCTCCCCTCCCCCAAGCCTTTTCCCTTTGGATGTAACCGTGAGTTCAACGTTAACCATATTCTCAAACGCTTTGCAGATGCAGATCTAAATCAGGAGCAGGCAACAGGACCAGATCTCTGCTGCTGTCAACAGGTGCAGCTCCCCCGGTCTGTACACACAACACAGACCGACCAGCGAAGAACAACAAGTTAGTTATTGTGTTCTGCAACTGGGCATTTCCTTTGGGACGAACGAACCCATGCCTCATTGACCCCAGCAGGGCGGGGATCGTAACGTGAGCGCGAAGGCAAGGCACTGCTGGGGTTTCCTCTTGGGATAATCCGGCCAAGAGGCGCTAGGTTGTATCTGTTCTCCCACACAAACAGAGAGACCACCACAAGATGTAACACGTAGTCCTGCTAGGAGAGCAGGGGGCTGGGTCAGAAGATCTCTCGTGGTACCTTCTAGGCCTACAATTCTGCAACACAACATGGGCCGCCCCTGTAGGCCTACCCCCCCGACACGTGGCTCTGCAGACACCCTTTCCGATACATAATAATGCACGATGGGGCGAGCAATGCAAGTCCATGAGTTATTTTGCTTCACTAGGGATGTGCTGGGTCCAACCCCCTTCAGGCGTTAGCGTTTAGCAAGCCCCAATCGCGGGGCTCCCCGTAATCCCACGTCAGATATCCCCCACCCATGTGCGTGTGCCTCTGGCTAGCATCCGAGGCTCATAGGTTTGGCAAGAAGAAAAACCAAAAGAAAAGTCCACTCTGACAGGTCCGACTCTGGGGTGCTTTATACACGTGGTGGGTAATGTTCCACGTGGAGGGGAGGGGCCGTGGCACAGAGTGTATTCACACCTGAATCACAGAAGAAATCGATCGTTCAGTCTTGTTAGCAGTGAAATGGGAACCAGAGGTGGGATCGGTCCCTATCTGCTCTTCCCATGTATGTCTGATGTACCCAACGTGCTATTTACACATAGTAGCAGTCACATATAAGGGTCACACCCTGCTGTTCCATGCCGGAGACCTTCTTAGGTAAATGAAAATTAAAGAAGGCAAAAAACCTAGAAACTTTTTTTCCTCATTCCCCTGAATTTTGGGACGATTTGGCCCAGGCAGAGGTTTACAGAACACACCTAAGAGCGGTGTCTGAGGAAAAGGAAGAACAAAGGCCAAATCTAGTTGAATTCAAAGCTTATGGTTTCAACGTGGATCTCAGAAGGCAGAGGGAAAAAACCACAGGGCAGATTCTACACCCTAAATCACTGGACCTGCACAACGTATTGCCTCACCTTGCTGTTACCGTTAGCCAGGGAAAGTTCCCTTGCAGAACAAACCATGAACACGCCCGGGGAATCACTGGTCCCTGTTTGCATGGCTGTGCGCTACCGAGGGCGGGGAAAAGAGCGACCTTCAATTTATTACATTTCCCCAGCTCATTTGCATGTGGCATCGTTCAGCTGACCAATACATGTGTATTTGGCTTGGGTTTTCATCTATGATGGGACATAGAAAGTCATACAAACGTCACACGTGGATAAATCCCAGTAACTCTCTGTCTCTCTCTCTCTCTGTGTGTGTGTCTGTCTGTCTGTCTAGACAATTCTTTTGGTTTTGTTCTACAGCCAGTAGTCGCAGACTCACCCACTGCATGTTTACTCTGCACGTGTGGCATAAATACGTTTTATACAGTAAAACTGACAATCGCAATTTTTGTGGGTTTTTTTTTGCTGACCAGCAACAAATTTCGCTCCCTTTCGGCTGTAAACCAAGACTGAATAAATATGCCACGCTCCGCAGAGAGCAATCTTGGTTTTCCTGCACTCTCAGCCAGGGGCTGCGGGGGCGGGCGCGACGGAGGCGGTCCCGGGGGGACGCGGGACGGGGGCGGTCCAGGCGGCGGCTGCCTGGAAGGAGGCTGTGGAGAGACGGGGGGAGAGGGGCTCCTGGGAGCGTTGTGGAGCGGGGCGTCATCATGCTTCGGCGGCGGGCGGTAGGGGGCGGTGCTTCCGTCGGATTTGACCCGGGTGAAGTTCATGCAGCGTCCCTGGTTAAAAGAAAAAAAATCGTGATTTGTAAAGCCTCCGTATGCTTCACAAGCCCGGTGCCAAAGGGGTTTGCGGCAGCAGCGCTGGAAGGTGGGTTTTTGCTCTGGAAATGCCTGGAGATCTTCATCCATGGCAGTGTGTCTTAAACTTTTTAAGACAGAGGAACACCAAGCAATATTTTTTTTTATGAGGGACACCAAGGATTTGTTGTTGAACCAACAAAAAAAAAGTCGCCTGCCCCTTTAAGGCACATCTCCAACTGCCTCACGGCACACCAGTGTACCACAGAACACAGTTTAAGAGACACTGATCCACAGGGACATTCCTTGGGTCTCAGAGCTTGTTCCAACACAATTTTGGCTCCAGCCTGTTCATGAGAAACAGGCCTACCCAGGAATTCAGGTAACGTCTCCCTGCGTCTCCCTGTGTCTAATGACTGGGGATATAGCCAGGACAAGCCAACCCCTTGCTCCCATGCCTTGCCTGGCTCCTCTATTTAGATCATGCCTTGCCTGGCACCCCATCGTCTGTGTGACAGAAATCATTACCTCTTGCCCGAAAACTAGCCCCATGACTTGCCCCAAGACAAGGCCCATGGTAAGGCCGGCACATGCGTATCACACACGCTAGTATTCAAAAGCAACACAGTTAATACAGCAGCAACGCCAGGGCTTGGTTTACAGGGGAAAAGAGGCCCAGCTCTCTGCCCAGCAGGTAGGGTTATACGGGACATGGCCTGGGGCCTTTAGCCCTACGATGGTCCTACACCGAGAACCCCAACAAGTCACGTGACAGAGTAGCATGGTTCCCGATTGGGGGATTCTGAAATGGGCGTGGCCTATTGTGTGGGCTAGGCCATCAGGAGCTCGGAAGGGCTCCCTCCAGCCATGTCTCAGCGAGGAAGCACCCAGCCCACACCAGAACCCATCCAGCAATCCCAGAGACATAGACTCCTAGACTTTAAGGTCAGAAGGGACCATTATGATCATCTAGTCTGACCCCCTGCACAGTGCAGTCCCTTCCCAGCCATTTTTGCGCCAAAAAAAGCTGTGTGGATGTTTCCTTTTTGCGCCAAAACCTCTTTTTGCGCAAGATCCGTATGCCTCCCGGGACGTTTCCGTTGTGCGCAAAAAGGAAACGTCCACACTGCTTGTTTTGGCGCAAAAACGGATCGGCAG